TCATTGAACAAAAAAACTTCAGAAACAGACTTCAAAGAGAAACAGCAGAACTAAAATCATTTGCAAATTTAACACCATTAATCTGGGCTTCAATAGGGACTGGGAGTGGCTGGCTCATTACAGAAGCAGCTTTTCCTCTCCTGGAATTGACACCTCCTCATCTATTACTGGGAGTGGACTACATCCACCCTGATTGAATTGGCCCTGTCAACACTGGTTCTCCACTTGCGAAGTAACTCCCTTCTCTCCATGTGTCAGTATATAATGCCTGCATCTGTAACTTTCACTCTATGCATCTGAAGAAGTGAGGTTTTTACCCATGAAAGCTTATGCCCAAATAAATCTGTTATTTAATGGATAAAAAAATCTGTAGTCTTTAAGGTGCCACCAGACTCCTTGTTGTTTTTGTAGATACAGACTAACACGGCTACCCCCGATACTAGATAAGGAAGTGTTATGTACTCCGTCACATAACACAAGAACGAGGGGTCACCCAATGAAATTAACAGGCAGCAGGTTTAAAACAAACCAAAGGAAGTATTTCTTCACACAATGCACAGTCAACCTGGGGAACTCCTTGCCAGGGGATGTTGTGAAGGCCAAGACTATAACAAGGTTAAAAAAAGAACGAGATAAATTCATGGGGGATAGGTCCATCAACGGCTATTAGCCAGGATGGGCAGGGATGGTGTCTCTAGCCTCTGTTTGCCAGAAGCTGGGAATGGGCGACTGGGGCTGGATCACTTGGTGATTCCCTGTTCATTCCCTCTGGGGCACCTGGCATTGGCCACTGTCGGAAGACAGGATACTGGGCTAGATGGACCCTTGGTCTGACCAACTCTGACCGTTCTGATATTATGTTCCTTTTGATATTTACCTTTGAAAAACTATTCCGGTTTTGTATTGCTATATTACACCTTGTTTATTTACAAAATGGGGTTTTTTGCCCCCCCAGGTGACGCGAAAGTTACACCTCTGTTTCCAACAGCACCATCCTGCAGACCGCCCGGGGCCCCTATTTAAAGATACCTTCCTCGACAGCCAGATGGCCCAACATTATCCAGCTGCAAGAACCGAGTCAGCCTGTCTGCTCAACGGCACCGCCTGCTCCTTCTTTCCAAGCGCGGCTTGGGACGCCAAGGAAGACTGGAGCCTTTTCTCTTCCTGTTGGCGGCTCTGGTGAGGCAGGCTTAGAAAAAAACCCCAAATCCACAGCTTTTTGCTGCCCAGAAAGATCTTGTGACCACGCTGGTACTCGCCTCACGCCTCGCTCGGCCGCAGCAGAACAAATCTTTTCCAAACGTGATGGGAGAACAACGCCACGGGAGAGGCCAGGGCTAACGGGGTTGGGTTTTCCGTAGACAATGCCGGTGTAAGAAGACTTCAGTTCAGACACCGGTTCAAAGGAAGAATGGGCGCAGGTGTATTACGTGCCACAGGCGCTGTGACGGGTTGGATCACAGAAACCCCCTTGGGAACTGCCACCTGATGTGCCAAGACTACTTCTGCCCCTGCCTTCCCTGCCAGCCTGGGAATCCAGCACCCTGTCTTGCTGAGACAGACACTCCCGTCTGCTCCAACACAGACCCAGGGTCTGAATTACTTGCCCCAAAGCTGCAGGTTTACCTGAAAACAGCTCACAGAAGTGTTCCTGTCTTTAACACTCAGATGCCTAATTCCCAATGGGGTCTAAACCCCAATAAATCCGTTTTACCCTGTATAAAGCGTATACAGGGTAAACTCATAAATTGTTCGCCCTCTATAACACTGATAGAGAGAGATGCACAGCTGTTTGCCCCCCCCAGGTATTAATACATACGCTGAGTTAATTAATAAGTAAAAAGTGATTTTATTAAATACAGAAAGTAGGATTTAAGTGGTTCCAAGTAGTAACAGACAGGACAAAGTGAATTACCAAGTGAAATAAAATAAAACACGCAAGTCTGTGTCTAATACAGTAAGAAACTGAATACAGATAAGATCTCACCCTCAGAGATGTTTCAATAAGTCTCTTTCACAGACTGGACACCTTCCTAGTCTGGGCCCAATCCTTTCCCCTGGTACAGCCCTTGTTCCAGCTCAGGTGGTAGCTAGGGGATTTCTCAGGATGGCCCCTCCTTGTTCTGTTCCACCCCTTTATATATCTTTTGCATAAGGCGGGAACCCTTTGTCCCTCTGGGTTCCCACCCCCTCCTTCTCAATGGAAAAACACCAGATTAAAGATGGATTCCAGTTCAGGTGACATGATCACATGTCACTGCAAGACCCCCCCAAGCCTTCATTCCTCCCAGCCTGACTCACAGGGAGGCCTGCCTGAAAACAGAACCATCCACACTCAATTGTCCTGGTTAATGGGAGCCATCAAGATTCCAAACCACCATTAATGGCACACACTTTGCATAATTACAATAGGTCCTCAGAGTTATATTTCATACTTCTAGTTTCAGATACAAGAGTGGTACATTTATACAAATAGGATGACCACACTCAGTAGATTATAAGCTTTGTAATGATACCTTACAAGAGACCTTTTGCATGAAGCATATTCCAGTTAGATCATATTCACCCATTAGCATATTTTTATAAAATCATATAGACTGCAACGTCACAGGCGCGTCGCGGGTTTTTCTGCAGCATCAGGATTTGACGTCGAAGATGTCCAGAGCGATTGTCCGGAGCACAGAAGGGAAGTCACTCTTGGAGGAGTGCTGTCGTTTTGGTGAGGTTGAATGCAGACGGATTCTGAAGCATGTTCCCACGTGGCGTGGCCTACCCGTAGCTAGGAATAGATTGGCGCAACTGGACGCAAAGCTTTTGCCCAAGAGCGTGGGCGGTGGGTGAACGCACCATGGGAGCGCCCTGTGAGCCACACCCTAGTTCACCATTGGCTCTATGGCCGCGTCCCGACCCGCGCTGGGAGCAGGGGCTGGCAGAGGCTCACCCCGATGGGCAGAACAGAGGGAGCAAACTCCGCTGGTGGCTTGGCACAGCGCCTGGCACAGAGCAACCCCCACCCCCATTCCTGAGCTGACACAGCTGAGGGCTGGCGAGGCAGGAAATACCCCATTTCGCAGCTGGGGTCACCCTCCACTCTGCCCCCTTGGCGTAACGCGGGTGCACAAGGTTACCCGATTCAGGTCACGCGGGTGGCTGGAACCTTTGCCGCCCGTAACGGAGTTTTTTTGCATGGCGTTTCCCAGGTTTTTTTCAAAGTCACGTGGGCTAAATTAAGGTCCCATCCGTCTGCGGACAGCTCACGATGGTGCGTCCAGGCCAATCAAAACGGCCCACGGTGGCTCTAATCACTGCCCTTCACTGCCCCCCTGTCCCGGAGGAGGAATTAACCCCTTCATGCCCCGTACAAAACCGAGACACGCCCATTCGGCTCCCAAATGTGACAACAACCCCCACATTCACCCGTGGGCGGAAAAAAGGCATCCAAGCCAGTGGTACAAGGCAGCCACACCAGGGGTCGGAGCCCGCTGGCAGATGCCGACTCTTGGCAGCCGTAATGAAGTTTGTTGTACGGCATTTCCTCGTGTTTTCTTTTTTTTAATGGGAAAAAGTGCAACTGGGACAGCTCCTCCCCAGTGCACGCTCAGCGGGAGGGGCACCCTGCCCCTTTCCAGGGCCAGCCCCTTCCACGGGGATACAGGACAATCTGCACTAGCCAGCAGCGGTAGAAGGCTGGTATCATAGATCCATAACGACTGGAAGAGACTGTCAGGGCTTCATAGGACCCTGGTCATTACATTTACCCTCAGCCAAAGCCAAATGGAATTTCATGGCACAAAGAAAAGACACCTCCTTGGGCCTAGGGCTGGTGTGGTGGCAACAGGGCACCAGGGACCAAACCTGTCTGGTGAGCGGCCACTACCAGATCCCATCGTAGCTGATGGTGGCACGTGATTAAATCAACAAGCAATCAAGGCCGGGGAACGAATTAACGGGTCACCACGGCACGGGGAGCAGCACAGGACAAAGGGCGACTCATAATTAATGCCTGAGCAGGGAAGATGGTGTCACAGATGACGAGGAGCACTTAACGAGGTGCCCCTTGTCATATCCATCATATTGGAACAGTGATGTCGGGGTTATGGCATAATTCTGATGCGTTTTGTACCATACGTGTCATGGGAGGCGTCTACGGAAAAGTCACGATTCGCTGAAGACGATTATCCTGTTGGTGCGCCTGGATCAGGTTTGTATCTGGAGTTATGAATATCGACAATGTGTCTGTATTTCGAATGCGGTTACACCTGGGTGACACCCACTCGGCAAGATGCTGCCAGTCTAGACAGCTGGTTGTGCTGGGCCATGAGGGGAAACAAGAGGCCTTCTCCCCCACCTGGCAAGCCTTCCTGGGAACGCTTCAGCCAGCCTA